AGCCGTGCGCCTGGCAATTTTTAGAGTCAGATTATGCAACTTGGTTGAGGGAGTGACTAAGAAGGGCCGTGCCTGCTGCCTCCAGGGTGGGCAAGGGTGGGTGTGGCAGGACAGGGTTCGGAGGACGCTGGGAAAACCCCGGGAGGCGGACTGGGAGCCAAGGTCAGCTCGCTCAGGAGCGCGGGAGCACCCCACTCGGCGGCGCCTCCAGCCCTGGGCAGGCTCGGGGTGCGCCTTCCAGAAGGTCTGTTCCCTGTGGGGGCTGGGAGAGCCCAGCCCTGCTGTGGTCTTGGGGGCCGCCTCCCACTGGCTCTCACAGTGAAGTGTCCCCCTAAGAGTGGAGAAGACACAGGGGACCCATGGGACCACCCTTCAGAGGGAGCAGGTCCCTTTCAGGGACAGGACAGCCCTGGGCTCTGGATGGAGAGCCAGGGACCTTCTCCCTCGGGGCCGAGTGCGAGGGCCCAGCTGCTCCTTCGTGGGGACGGCTCGGTCCTGCCCGCAGAGCTCCCTGGCCCCTGGCCCCCGGGCCTGGCTCTGCGGGGACGTGACGAGCTGAGCGTCCGGTTTAGCACGGGCGCCGCGGCTATTTTCTCCCCTGCCTGGCGCTTCTGGTTCAGGGAGCTGAGGCGGCTATTTCTGTGGCAGCCGTCCCCTGAGTTGTCAGGAGCCCAAGTTTCCACGGCACCCACCGCCCCCTCTCCTCCCACGGGGATGGGCCTGCTCATGGCGCCCCGGTGCTGGGCACAGATGTCCCTGGGCGATGGGAGGCAGGAGTGCCAGGCTGGAGCCCCCAGTGCCTTGGGAGAGGGGCTCCCCCACGTCCCTCCCGGCCCCCTGGCTTCTGTAGGGGAGACCCTGACCCAGCACCTCGCCAATGGAGAGCCGCGCAGGTGTCTGCCCCTCTAGCTCTCAGCACCTCGGTCTCCGGGGGCCCTGGGGAAGGCAAAGCAGGTTCTGGAGCTGACAAAACCCTGGGGGGGGTGGGGGGGCGGGGAGCCAGGGGGCTGCCTGCAAGGCCCCAGGCTGACCCAGGCTCGGGCCTCCCTCCTCCGGGGAAGGCTCTCCTCGCCCTTCCCCCACAATCTGACAGCCCAGTGCACTTCACCTTGGATCTTGACTTGGACTTGTACCTGTTCCTTGGCTTCTAGAAGCCTTTTCTCCACAGCTGGGCCCAGCCTCTCCGCCGAGCAGGGGAGCAGCCTGGGAGTTAACCTTACGTTCAGTTTGTACAGTTTGTATCGGGGCTGGAGGCCACTTCTCAGCCCCAGGGCTTCTGAGAGGCGAGGCTGTGAGCTGGGACCAGCCGGGTTTGTTTTCTCAACAAGGACGGGCACATTCATGCTCCCCAGCCCTCCTGGTCAGCATTCAGCCTCCAGCCCTGGGACTCCACCTGCCTGATGGAGGAGGGGGGCTGGGTATGCCATGGCTGAGCCCCTGGAACAATGGGCGGGCCCCAGGTGGTGGTGGCAGATGGAGCCGGGTGGGGAGGGGAGGGGGGAGCCCGAGTGGGCAGGCAGCAGCCGGCTGCTGGCTCGGGGCTGACAGGCCCAGCAGGAGCGTCCCCCTCTGCCTTGTGCCGGGCTGCAGAGCTGGGTCCCTCTCCTGGGCTAGTGGTCCCTCTGTCCTGAGCAGGTGTGGAGCTGAGCCATAACATCACCCGGGAGGAGGAAGGGTGGTGAAGGGACTCACCCCGGACCCTGACCCATCCCTGCCCTTCCGGGCCTCTGAGCCCTGTGTCCCCATGCTGTCCAGCTCTGCCCCTGGCCTGCTCTCTAGCCCACAGCCTCCTCGGCAGCTGCCTTCCTCCTAACGTCTCATTCTTTGTGTCTCCCTTTCTTTTGCTGAACTCCCTGCCCTCCGCCCCCTGAAGGCCATGTTGAGCCGAAAGTGTGCGTCCCAGTGTCTCACACCTGTGCTCTTTAACACAGAGACCTGCCAAGACGCTCTCTCGTCCAACTATGCCCAGGCCGAAGTCCTCACCCTCTCTTAACGCGGCAGCAACGTGAGAGAGACAGGCAGACAGACAGAAAGCCAGAGGCTTAGGGGGACTCTGGAACCCAGGCAAGGACCTTCCGCTGGGCAAGACTTGTTGGCACAGGACGGATGGAAAAGCTCCCGTCTGACCCCCGGGGCCCGGAGCCATCCGGTCCGACGTTTTGTTCTGTTGTGATTGAAGAGATATATATGCACATATAGCATCTATATTCATACATACTGTACTCGTGTGTGTAGTGCACGTGCTATTGGTGGTCTGTCTTTGTCAGGCCGTCTCCCCAAGCCCTTGCTCCTCCCCCAGGCCCCCCTCCCTTCCCTTCACTGATTCCCTGTTCGCGTTGTACGTGCCGCGTGTGGAATGTCCCAGGAAAAGTTGCCTGGGGACCGCCCGTCCAGCTGGGTGGGCCCAGGCTAGACTCTCCCTGTGGGGGTGTTTCCCTGTGGGCCGGTGGCCTGTGCCAGGCCAGGCTGCCCCCGGGGTCACTGCCCCACCAGCCCCACCCCACCCCAGATTGGGGTTCTACCTCCCACCCCACGCCCCAGTTGTGGGGGGACTTCCAGGGGCTTCTCTGCAGCTTCTTTCACCCCTGCCCCCCTTCCCTGTGTCCTTGACTGAGGGGGCATTTTGGGTTTTTTTAATCTTTGGTTTTTCTGTCTCCCTCGTCCGTGTGTTTTCAATGATGCTGCCGGGCAGACAGGCAGGGAAGGGGCCTGTCTGCCCACCGGGCTCAGGGGTCTGAGAAGGGGAAGCTTCGGGCGAGTGGAGACCAGTTGCAATACTGTACTTCCTGGCCGGTGGCCAGAGGATGCGTGCAATAGCGGAGGCCGGGTGACCCTTCGACCTTGGCCTCTGCCCCTCCCTCGGCTCTCCCTCCCCGCTCCTCGCCCGCCCCGCCCTTCCCTGGCGTTGGTCCTGGTGTTGGTCCTTTTCTAAAGCTGCCCCCTCCTGTGTGTCTGAGGCAAGCCTAGGCCAGGGCCCTGTCACCCTGTCTGCATGCCTTCGACTGTCATGCTGTGCTCGACCCTCAATAAAGACATCTGGAGCGTCCAGCTGCTCCTGCGTGTGAGCGACCGCCTCCGCCTCTCCTTTCCGGCTCTGTGTCTGTGGGGACCCCCCTGGCTCCCAACCCAACACCTGAGAAATGCGACACCCTCCGCGTAGCCCCGCCCCCACGGGCATCATCCATTGGGAGCGAGACACTGGTGCTCAGAGAGGAAGCGTGTGCTGCCCAAGGTCGCACCCTGAGCCTCCCCTGCCTCCCAGGCGGGTTCTGAGTCCCCCTGCCACAGGGCCTCCCGCCGCCCCTGGAAGAAGAGGCCGTTGCTTAGGCCGCCACTGTGTCCCTGCGTGTTTGTGCAGGGCCTCCCTCCCCCCGAAGTCGCACCACCTTATGTGGGCCAGGGCCCAGGGGATGCCACAGCCTTGCGCAGCCTGGATGGCTGGTGAACCGAGGCCGGCGAGGGGCTGGTGGCACAGCCGGGACCACTTAGGGCTGGGGCATGAGCGCCACCGGGGCCCAGAGAGGGTGGGGGGGTGGGAAGTGACAGGGCCGCCCCTCACTGTCACATAAGGGCACACGCAGGGCTGGCTTCACGGGCCTGTGGCCTGGGCAGTTGCTCAAAAGGGCCCGACGCTTGACTTCATCTCAGCGGCCGCTGACTTGAAATGACTCATGGCTCTGAAGGGGCCCTGGGCTTGTGTTGTGCACTGGGCCCTGGGAATTACGAGGCCAGGTCTGGGTGTGTGTTTGTTCTCCTTACTCTTTTTTTTAAATATGTTTTTATTGATTTCAGAGAGAGGGAGAGAAACATTAATGATGAGAGAAGCGTCCTGCCTCTTGCACACCCCCCACTGGGGACTGAGCCTGAAACTGGGCATGTACCCTGACCAGGAATCAAACTGTGAGCTCCTGGTTCATGGGCTGACGCTCAACCACTGAGCCACACCAGCCCGGCTGGTCTTCCTTTCTCTTGTCTTACTTCTTCCTCCTACTCCAGGCATAATCGAGTCATAGGGCCTCAGTTTAAAGCTGCCACTCACTAGGTGAGCCATCTGGGACAACCTCGCTGACCCTCAGTTTCCCTGTCTGTAGAATGGGGTAGAATGGGGACAATGGTAGCCCCTACGCCAGAAACAGCAGCGAGCGGAAAGACCTGGCGTCTGGGTATGACATGTGGGAGATGCAGACAGCATCCGTTCCTGCCCCACCCTCTCCTGTAGCTCTCGGGCTTTCTCCCCAGGTTTCTGCCGTCTGCACCCAGCCACACCCACAGAGGACAGAGCAGCCGGGTGAGGACTGAGGACACGGGGGCCGAGGGGAGGGGAGGGGAGGGGAGGGAAGATGCGAGGGAAGCCTGTTCCTGAAGCGAAAGGGAGAATTGGGCTTGGAGCCTGGGCCGCAGAGGCGAGGCATGGCAGGCGGCCAGTGGCGAGGCATGGCAGGCGGCCAGTTGTCAATTAAAGATAAGATCGCTCCTCGGCTGTGGAGGGCAAGTCGGGGCCCCCCCCCACCCCCACCCCAGGCAGGAGAAGCCATTTGCAGCCGGGCTCGGCTGGGCCGGCCATAATGGGGTGGGAAGCACTGCTGGCTCCGTGACGCCACGCACCAGGGCCCACGTCCGAGACGGCTGGGTCTGTATATAGAGACCATGTGGCACCATTTCATGACGGGCAGAGAACCCAGCGAGCAGCCCGGGGACCAGCTTCCAGGTGGTCCTGGGGGGACCTGAGGGGATGCAGCTGGGGTCCCGGTGGCCCCTGGAGGGGAGCGGCGCTGGCACATGAGAGCAGAGGCTCAGTGAGGAGCCGGAGAGCCCCCCTCCCACCTTCCAGAAACTGCAGCCAGTTCTGTCCGGGGACCAGACTGGGCTTCCTCTGGTTGGGAAGCTGGTGGGGAGGCCAGGGAGGGAGCTGGTTCAAGAGCGGGGCGCTGGTGACGGAGACTGACTTCGGTGGTCAGTGTGCTTTTTAACGTTTTTATGTTCTCACCATCGGTCGATTCTCATAGCAAAGGTGTTGTTTCCCCCGTTTGAAGAAAAGAAACCAAGGCTTGAGGAAGTGAGGGATCTGATCTGTCGCTGCCCCGCCCCTCACATAAGGTCGTGAGGCTTCCTGGATTGATTAGCGGGAGGTAACACCGCTCAGGGAGCCCTTGCTTCTTCCTTCTGAGTCTTATCGTCTGTACTCGGAAGGGGATGGGCGTGGGGACCTGTCTAGGATCCAAGTTCCCAAGGACGGTGCAAAGGTGCCCCCC